AACAAACTGTTCCCTTGCTTTGTACAAACAGAAGAAATGCATTCAAAATGAAGCAGACTTATATACCGAGATAGTTAGCTAGTGTACATTGTTTCAGTTGTGACAAAGATCCCTTACACAGGATCGAAGAAAGTAAGTCTTGATCACCCCACTGCACTTTGTAGACAACAATAGCATTGCATTTTTTCAGCTTCCATTTGTGTTTATCTTCATTTTATTTTTACATTTTTAATTTTAATTACTGATCTGAACATCAATTAAATTGTCCATCACAGTGCGTCCTGTATTATTTTTCTACATAAAGACTTGTCAAGTCCAAGATGTAATGCAAAAAGAGCACCTTATAACGGCAACCACTTTGGGAAATTAATGTCGATGAACTGTTTCCATCTTTCCGTTTTGTTTCCATCTATTTCCATGATTTCTAGCATATTAGCATGTAGATTTTCAGAAAGCATACTTTTAATAACATTTTAGAAATCCTGAAAAGTGAAAGAACATGTTCAATGGACTGATAGGAACACAAAATATTTAAAGCTAAACATGATACAAAATAAGCAAAGAGGTTCCGATAAATATTACCGCTTGTATCAAAGTTATTTTTAATTAACTAATTTACGAATGAGTAGGCTGGTAGAATATTTAGTTTTGATTATACATTGACCTGTGAGCTCTACTACTCTTGGAGTATGTGAAGAGCAAATTAAATGTAAATAAACTTCAAAAATAGAACAGAAACAGAAGATATGGGGAAGCCAGAAAGCTTGTACATTCAACAGCACTGGATTGTATATCCAGTAGTAATGCGTTCACACAACTGCTTCTAGAGTTTAGTGCTCAGAGTTACAGCACAAAATAAACATTTGAGCTGGTAAAGTACTCCGAGACCAATATCAGTTATCAATGTGTAATCATGAACTCAGAGGGGCTGTCAAGACTCTCGCTGGTCTGTGAGACGGTTCCTTGAGAGGAACGATGAGGGCTGCGGGACATACAGGAGCAGAGGCAGGGAAGACTCCGGAAGGAGTGACCTGCGGATAGACTCGCTACCAGCTGGACACCTACCAGCACAGTCCTACTGCTTATCGCATTTTTATTTCATTTAAAAGTGAACTATTTTGTGTGTTCTCTTGATATATTCAGCATTTTGGATTGCATCAGCAAACAAAACTCAGTAAAAGTGCTTGAGTTGAAAATATCCCCAGCTCGAGAGAAAGGAATACTTGATCATTGGAATCCAGCAAGTGGAACCAAAGTGAAATGAGTCTTTCTATATGAGAATAGAACATTTTCAAAATAAGACCTTAAACAACAAAATTATTGAGAAATCACATCAAAGGTCTGAGTTTTGAGTAATCCTAAAAAGTGATTTAATGGTGCTGGTATGCATAAAACACCTCAACAATTATAGGCATTTATAAAAAATTAATTTGAAATAAAATGGAAGTGTCCTGTAAAACTAATAAAATGTAATTCACTAATGTATATCAATATTTTTGGATTGCTTTGTTTTTAGGTTTAGTTTGGTCTTCAAACACTTAAGACATTTAAAAACAGATTTTGTTTTTCTTATTGGATTACTAATCAGTGATTTTTTAAGTTAACTGCAACAAAATTACAAGTGAAACTATCAAATTCAAATCAATAAATTATTCACCAGTTTATAACGTGCAGGAAGAAGCAAATCAAAACAGCTTTGCTGTCTTTTGACATTTCTATGAAATGACCTTACAAAAATTAATTTAGTATTTCCTTGTCTGAAAAGATTTTTTAAAAATAAAACCATAGTCCCTGTTAAATGTGAACACCACGTCTGCCAGTTATTAGTGTTGTGCCCCCTGCTCGTTTGTGGGAGGTATAAAAGAAACTCTTATTTTGACATGCAAGTAAAACGGTTATTTCAGTCTTAATACATAAATATAGCTGGCATTTGTCTTGATGCACATTGGAAAATAATGAAATCTTGAAATGATTAACCCCATTTCATGAAATTGTAAAATACAAATTGAATCAATTATAGTAAGATCAAACACTTTTTCTTGAAGGTTTGCAATCAATAATGGTTCATGGGTAAAAGTCCTGACATAAAATACTATTTCGTACAGACAGTACATCTGACTACATGTAAAACTGAGAGGAGAAACTGTTACATCGAGTGTCGAGGGAGCCTGGAAAAAGCTGCCGAGCGGCGTTCAAGCTGATACATTGGCTATTTTCAAGAAACAGCTGCATGAGATCTTGGGATCAATTCGATTTATCAGACAAGCTAAGCTGATCAAATGAATGTATAATTTGTCACATTTCGTACTGTATGTTCTTATGTTTTTAATGCCAGTTTGGCACGTTTTGATGGCTAAGCCTTTGTAAAGCAATACAACTTCCTCAAAGTATGTGTAATAATTTAGCAATCAGTTTGTATCTATACTTGAGTATATGCCCAAACAATACTTTTTTTTAAATGAAAAGCCCATTAAAATTCTGCTAAACAAGGAGTGTATTCTACAAGTCATGGATACGAACGTCAGAGAATGGAGAAAGGACATTTATCAGGGTGTCAGTAGATCTTTAATACTTCAGAATTTATAGTAGAATGCTTATAATTTTAATACATTGTTTGTTTTGTTAGATTTTTAGCGGTACTGACAATACTTAAGAGAGAATATATTGGTGTTAGGAAGTCATTTTGTGTGAGTTATTGATGAAACTTGGAAGATAAGTATTTTCTTCTACTGTAATTAGTTTTCAAAGATTTTAACCTTTTTTTTTTACACACCGGTTAATAAGAACACACTGAAGAAATGTCCCAAATACTTCAGTACTCGAAAATCATTGTCAAACACCATACATAAAAATATTTTTTTTTTGTTTTAGTGATTGCCGTTTTCCGATTCCCCTGAAATGTCCCCTGGTGAAACCTGTCCTTTAGAACAGTTTCTGCTTTCTACTTGCCGATCAGAAACCAAATAGTATCAGCATGCTATCACACATATAAAGGCATATAACTGTAGGAAACTACCCTTGTTGGCTAAATAATTTATTTAGGAAACTATCAATAACAAAACAAAAGTTACATTAAAGCATTAAAACGTTAAACCTGCGCAGATTAAACTACCATAGCAATCATCGACATGACGAATATGTAGTATATGTAGTTTTAGCTGTATCTTAAAAAAACTCCGGGGGTCCTCCGACTCACTTCTGCATTGCTGATAACTGCAAGAGCAATAAGGATTTTTAGGGGCATTATGATAGTGAAACTGAAACACAACTGCCCCCAAAAGCCCCTCATTTTCCCTGCGGTAAATAAACACATTCATCACTGTTTTGCTTATTAAAAAAGGACAAATTGTTAATATATTGCTCTAAAACGTCTTAGACTGGGCGTGACCTTCACTACGCTTGTAAAAAGGCTTTTCTTATAACAAAAATTAAAAACATGAAAAATACCTTACGAGGTCTAAAAGTATTTCCACCAACGTCACAAGGAAAACACGGAGTCCCCTGTGCTTTTCCTTTTTCTGGATAATTGGAAAAAGTATTCCCGGTCCATGGAAAGAATTAATTTGCAATGATCTAGAGCAGACTTGAATAATCACTTCATACGACGAGAAATGAGTAAACAGTTTGTGTTAGGTGCTTTTTTGTGTGTCGTTTATAATACAGTTCTTCCAGTTTTGAATAAAATAAAATGTGAAATGAGAACTTTTGTTTGAGAATGTCATTAATTTCCGATATTGAATAAAATAAAATGAGGACTGGAAACCGGGCGTTCGTCTTCGCTGATTTGGTCACTGTATAAATAAAATAACACGACTCCTCTTTGGCTAAAATGTACTCTTCGGTGTTGAAGTTTAACACAACAGCACCAAGCACTGCACATCTGTTTGGCTTTGGCGAGAGGTCGCTCAAAAGATTCGCGCTGAAGAAGGCTTTCGCCTTGTCCTCTCCAGCGGGGTGATGGCCCTGGGAACGTATTCGTGTTGAAACTGTGAAGCACAGAAGCGGGACTTTGCGGGCCAGTTGGACTGGGATAAAACTCATCTCGCCCCCAAAATCCCGCATCTGAAATCACAATGACGGAACAAAGAGGGCCCGGATCAATCCCGGCACCACTGGGTTTAATAAACGGGCTTGACCGGCGATGAGCAGGGCTTTACAAGCGCCCTTTCCCTCTCACCGGACCGGCTGACACGGTCCTATCTCCTACATGACTGTTGAAATGATTCGCGTATGTGACTTTAGGAAAACTGCGATCACGTTGGCTTTCATGAACTCTAAAGCCCCAGTTTTAAAGTCCTTAAAGTCAGCTAGTTATCGGTAACAGATGACTTCGTGACCTTACATATTTAGATCCCACGTGTGCTGCGACCCAACTCTCAAGCAACCTTCGTGAAAATATTTGCAGTCTGGTATGAACACGGACAAACCCAGTCCCGGCTCCATGTTGCAGTTTGCACTGAAAAAATAAAGTGCATTTTAACGCATGTATGCTTGTGCTACTGAAGTGGGGGAAAGGAATGACTAAATTGTAATCGATAGCTATCCTGATGATCCAGATAGAGTATTTATTAAACAACTAAACGTCTGGCTACATGTATACGCTTATATATATAGAGAGAGAGAGAGGTGTCAGCTGTACACGTCCCCGGGTCCGGGCGTGTGTCGAGCCTCTCGCCCTGCCCGCCCGGCGCTCCCGGACACTCAGGTACGTCTGTCTGCTGCCGCCCCGCAGAAACACGTCTACTGTCAGGAGAGGGGCGGCACGTCTGGCAAACTCCGTCTGGCGCGACGAGATAACGCCGCGCGTATGAACACTTCACGGTCTACAATTGTATGTGAAAAAATATATATTTGACATTATTTCTGTGCAATCCTAGAGCCCCTGTCAGTTTTCTCTCCACACCTGCATGCCACCATGTGAATCGGGAGACGTGCGTGTCAGACATTTCACGGCCTTCTAATGGGTAAAAACGTCACGTATTGAATCAGTTTGAACTTACCCTCGTTATTTCAAGACATTCTGCTGCTTATAAGGCGCACACGCCGCTTTTGTCCCGGTTTCCTTAAAGCTATAGACGCGATCCCAGCGGCTGTCTTGCCCGGCACTCCTGACTCACTGCATGTGAAGATCGCTCAGCCAGCTCTTCAGACAGCGCTTCACGGTCACGCCACGGGGCAAGAGGCCAGCTCGGGGGAATCCAGCAGAAAACAACGCGCTCACAGCTCGGAATCGCCGCACAGACATCCACGGACCCCCACGCTTCTGCCGCGGATCGGGCTCAGCGCTGCAGTCCGGCTGCTGCGGCTCAGGTCCCGCACCGCCAGCGGCGGCTGCCGACTGGAAATCAGCCTTCAGGCTGCGGGCAGCGGCGGCAGGTCTCTGTTTCGCTGAGAGGGAAAAAAAAGAGGAAAAAAAGTTGTGTTGCATGTGTCTCTGTATATGGAGTTGCACGGTTTTGACAAGCTTTATTTTCCTAGAAAACACCTCCAAATATAGAAACTGGGAAGGGGCATTCCTAGAAATCCAGCGGACGTCATAACCCCCCCCCCGGCATGTCCCCAGTTTTCCGCAAGAGGGCGCTGTGGACATCTCAACTTAATCCACTTTCAAGACGTCTGGCTAGAAATTCAATCCGTGGTTTACTTCAATACTCCGCCTGCAAAGAAGAATAAATAGCTCCATAACTTTAAGATTTGTATTCGATTTTACTAATACAAGAAAAAAATACATTTCTCACGAAAAGAGTAATCTGGTATGGAGAGGGAATATTGATTAATTTATAGGTTGATTAGAATATGAAATTTGTACGTACATATACTCCTTGTATCTGATATACATTTCAGTTGCTCTATATTGTGCCTTAACACTAAAGTCAGATAGGAAAAAGAGATAGATAATACTTTATTAATCCCGTAGGGAAACTGATGAAAAAAAAAACGATTCGTATGTCTGAATTCTGTACAAAATCACTTGTAAATTTATTCGAATTTACGTAAAGGATAAAGGTAACAATTACAGAAGACGGCTTAACTCTTTGGAAGATCAGATGTTTAACTTTCAGTACCATTTGGTGTCCTAAGATCGTTTTCAGGATCTCAATGACTCAATAAATAAGCTGTTCATTATGCTTTCTATATGCTGATATATATACATAAAAGTTTTAAATGGCAAAAGATATTTGGATTTTAAGTTATTATTTTTTTTTAATTAGGTGTGCATTCACGTCATTTAAAAAGTATTGAAGCCACTGAAAATATTTAAAGCGGACACGATTTTAACTTCTCACCTATAACTTATAACGTTGTACAACGTGTAGCTACAGAAGGAAACTAAATTATTGTTGTTTTTTAAATCTTTGAATACTGCTACAAAATACTATTGTATTTTTTTTTCTTTTGAATGAGAAAAGGCAAAAACAAGTCTTTCCCCGAACAGGCACGGACGGGGTTCGAACCCGCGATCTTCGGTTTACGAGACCGACGCCTTACCACTTGGCCACCGCGCCTGCGCTGTACCGCGGCTACCCCGGGCTGCCCCACTAGTGGGGGGAGGCCGCGCGCTCTGCCCGCCTGCGCCGTTTTCTGCTGAAGCGCAGTCGCCCCGGGCAGCCCTGGGCTGGGAGGGCAGGGCAGGACAGGGCAGGACAGGGCAGGAAGCGGTCAGGGCGGGTTTAGGGGGGCCGCTGACCAGTGCAGCTGTCCCACAGTGAAACGGGCGTACAGTCTGGGGAGGTCGCCCGTTTCCCGTGTCAGTGGTTCCCTGGTTGCGCAGCCCCGGGTCGGTCTCCCTCTCGGCTGGGTTCGGGAGGCGGGCTGGCAGGTGAAAGAGACGGAGGAAGAAACAAGGCGCCGTTTTTAACTGCACGAGTCTGGGTCTCTGTGTTCGTCCTCACCGAACCCGCATCCAGTACAGCAGGTATTACAGAAGCACGGCTGAATCATGTACAGTGAAGCAGCTTGATAAGCAGAGGTTTAAAACCGGTTCCTTCAGAAACTTTCAGAAGCAGGCAGCTGGTCATATTTAAAAAAGGTGAAATAAAATAAAGTCACACTGTCCAGGCAGATAAACCAAAGGTGCGAGTGTCTTCACGGCAGGCACACGCAGTAACAGTCAACTGTGGCCGAGACCTCCGGGCAGGAGTGACAGGCGGACAGGCTGTCCTCGCCACCTCGTCATTACTCTTACTGTTCTCGTACTTTCGACATGCCACATGCCGTCTTTCTGCCCCTGGCCGGGGCAATGCGCCTCGCCACACGAGCCGCTGACTCGTATCAGCTGCCCCGCACGAGCCGCTCCGCGTGCGCCTCGCACCTCCGGCCGGGCGGGGGCGCCAGCCGCCTCCGCGAGCGCAGGCAGGCTGTGCGCAGGCGCCGCCACGGGTCGCCGAAAGGGAAGTGACGTAGCGCAGGGTGAGATTCAAATCTGTGCGTCGCTGCGAGCGGGGAAGCATATGAGGAACCCTGTAAGAATCACTTTTCAAAAGTTGCGAAAGGTTAGGCGTTTTTAACCACGTGTTTGAGAGGTTTCGTTTCAGGTGAACGTCAGACTGGAGCTTACGCTTGCATGACGTTTGTCTTTATCCCAGTTCTTTCTTTATGAGTGAGAATATTCTTTTGCTGTCTTTAATAATATACCATGGGGTCCCATGCACTTAAACTTTTAGCTGGACGATGAGTTGAGTTGAGTCTGATTGAACGGAAAATAAATCCGTGTGTCGCATTTATGGGCCTTTACAAGCCTGGTAGACTTGTTTTAAACCAACCGGGTACATGGTTTCAGTGTGCAATTCCATTAGATTGTTTCTAAAAAAGGCTCCCTGTCAAAGGAGCAATGCGCATTTCAGTCTGCGTTCTCTGACGGTCGTGTCTTCACAGGTCTGCAGGGTCCGTAAGACGGACAGGAGGGTGCCATGGCAACAAAGCTGCTGGCCAAGTACGAAGTCCCCGATTTCCGTAGTCACTGGTTTGCTCTGCACACATGACCCGTAATAATGTTCATTGTTATGACTGCACCCCTAAAGCTCTTTATGGCCAAAGTTTGTGTTTAGTGTTGAGTAAGATAAAGGATGTACCAGAAGAAAACTAACCCAGTGAAGACTGTAACGCATTTCTTTTATTTTAAACTTTAATGTAAGTTTATTTTTGTTGTAATGTTTATTTTTTCGTTGCAGAAAACTTGGGCTAATAAGAAAACGCAGTCAACCATCCAGCAATGGCGCCCAAAGAAGACCAGGCGCAAGTACGTGATCGCTGTACATCACACGTTTCTTTAATGATTCAATACATTAGTTATTTAATTCTTTTTTTCAGTGGCATCACTACCTAAAAAGCTCTAAATAACATACCGTAGTAAAAACCTCTCTTCTTTGTATTTGTTTTCTGTGTTCCTCCACCTTTGTAGCAGCCGCATGGTGAATCCCTCTCTGCACGGAGCCCAGGTGCTGAGTGGCTCAAGTCGAAGCTGCCTAGCCTGTCTTTAAAATACTTCTGGACACAGTTTTAGACCCCATAAACCGGGGTTGAGTTACAGTTTAAACCCCTTTTCAATATTTTCAAAGTTTTCAGTAGCAGCAGCAATTCATGTAATATCAGTCTGAATTAAATTACATCTTTGCTGCCTGTTTTACACATTTGTATTGCATTACCTTTTAAGTTACGTATGATACAGTAAATCTGTTCTCTAAATCCGACACAAATACTACACCTGCTACATTACATTATCATGTGTTAATAACATTGTTTATCACCTCACAGTCAAAGTACACCCATCACTGACAACACTTACACCCGTTATGAGTGTTTAAGGATGATGGTATATTGGCTTGTAAAGGAATGATGCACATGGCATCACCAATATGAATTATTTTCGGGAATATGCTGAGTTGTTCATGTCATAGAGGGAGGTAGCATTGTAAAAAAAATAATAGCATGTTTTTCTGACTTATTTTCTTCTGTGATGAAAATTGACTGCATTTTATAGCCAAGAGCGCCTTTTGAAAAGAAGCTTTACAAAGATGGTTTGTATTAGAAAGTCAAAAGATAAAAAAAAAAACAGCTGGTTGTTATGTATTGTATTCGGATCATATCTAAAAAGTAAGAAATTCTTATGCATGAAATATTTCTGTGGATAATGTTATTTATATTTAAGATAATATTTTGTAGGAAACATTCATCAACCCTATTTTCTCTTTGTAGAGCAGTTTTTTTCATACCTGGTAGTCATTGACTTTGAATCCACTTGTTGGAGAGACAAAAATCACTGCAGCCCGGAAATAAGTAAGTTTTTTTTTAATAAGATCAGTTACAACACCCTGTAAGGCAACGTGAGCTTTACTAAAACTAGCTATTCATTTGAAATGGATGATGTATTGTTGACGTTAAAAATTATAATTGTTTTTAAACATTATAGGATAAAAAAACAATATTGTAAATCTTGATTTAATAAAATGTGTTTGTGTACGATCAGTTGAATTCCCTGCTGTACTACTGAACACATCCAATGGAAGGATCGATTCCGAGTTTCATACTTACGTGCAACCACAGGAACACCCTACGCTGTCTGAGTTTTGCACTGAGTTAACCGGTATCAGGCAGGTAAGCTGAACTCTTTTGCTTACAATACTGTTGTTTCAAGTCATTCTTCACAAGCAGTTGTGCTTCCATTCTTTGTCCAGAGTTTGTGATGTCATGTGCTCTTTTCATCAGAGCCAGGTGGAGGCTGGAGTTCCTCTGAAGATCTGCTTGTCTCAGTTTAACAAATGGCTTCAGACACTGCAGCAGGAGGAGAACATTGTGTTTGTGAACGACTTGGTCAGACCGAGCGACTCTGTTGCTAACCCATGCACTTTTGTTACCTGGTCAGGTGGGATATAGTGTATTCTGTTACTGATGAGTAATGTGTAGCCTGATTTCTGTTTCCTTAAAAACTCATAGTATATTAAAATATATCAGATATATCAAAAGATACAGTATATACAAATAATGGGGATGAATGTAAAATACTTCTCACTGTCTCATAATGCTAAAAAGCAGAACCAGTCTGAGTCTGAATGGACCCCTAGTACTGTACTTTTGTGTTGATAGTGTCACTTCAGGCCATGTAAAGACAGTTCAGTAACAGCCAGCTGTTTTTTTTATCCTGATTTCACCATCAGCAATGCATAGCTAACTTGAGCTGCTGAATTTGGCGTATATATGAATCTTTCAAATTTGAAATATTTTAAGACATGTGTAGTGCTTGTAATTGAGGCAAATGAGAATGTTATAGGTGTAATAGAACTGCAAGTATACAGTGTTTAGATATTATTATACTTTGCAGTGCAGTGAAACAGTGGAAATATTCAGTCTTATAATTAATAGCTACTTCTTTTTCTTAAAACCTGAAAGTCACAGGCCTTGTTGTTACAACACCATATTGTTCCTATATCTGTCTATGCGTAGACTGGGATCTGGGTGTTTGTCTGCAGTATGAGTGCAAAAGGAAACAGCTCCACAGACCTGACGCCTTAAACAGCTGGATTGATCTCAGGGCGATGTACAAGGTACTGCTTCTCTACAGATCAGATTTGTAAGGTTTATGCCTTTACAATAGATACGTTTAATTTCTTCCAAAACAAACTTAATAGTTTATGTGCTTGTAGGAACACTGCCACTTTTCGATTTACATCAATTCGGGAACAATATAATGGTTGTGGATTTGTCTATGATTATACAGACAGGAAAATAATTGTTTTCCTCCCTTTTTATGTTCCGTTTAGAGTTTTTATAATCGAAAACCAAAAGGACTGACTGGGGCCTTACAGGACCTTGGGATTAAATTTTCAGGAAGAGAGCATTCAGGTACAGCACATATTTTCTCTGCACATATAATGTGGTTTTATTCAATATGTTAAACATGCCAATGAACATCATGTACTTTCAGTTATCTTTTGGGCTTCTGCAAGTTTAATTTTGACACTTTCGAATAGCTACTCTGTCCATAGCCCAGCAGAACTGCCATGATTATTTAAGCATATCTTCAGGTTTGGATGATGCCCGGAATACAGCACATCTTGCATGGAGAATGATCACAGATGGGTGTGTGATGAAAATCACAAAGTGTCTGGAAAGGGTGAGTAGGTTTTGTTTAGTTTAAAGAGGCTGTAGAATGGTTTTCCTGTTCCTTTTGTGAGCTTAATTTCCATCGGTAAAAAGTCTCTGATGCCGCATAAGTGAAGAAGACATTTTAAAAAACTAAATTGTACTGTTACAGCAGGCACTTCCAAAGACACATGATAAATTCCAATGTGTGGGTTTCCCAGGTAAAACCTGATCCAGGCAACAGATGTGCCAACAGTGAGGCTGCTAGAGACAACCATCATGGAAATTGTGTTGCCAGAGGTGAAAATAATACAGAAGACAGACAAACTAAGAGCGTCCTGGAGCAGGTGAAACTGGACCACGTTCAAAGAAAACAGTCTTCAAAGAACAAGGAGGTTCTCGGACTGCGTTCAAATAACGAAAACCATCTCTGTCAGAGCTTGGTGTACCCGAAGACTCTGTTTCATGGGCTAATGCCTTGCGTAGCTCAAGAAAACCCCCCAGTACCAAAAAGCATCTCTTCTGGAACATTAGTGACTATTAATAGTCCAACAGTGCTCAGTACTAACCAGGTGTTAGTCTCAACTATGGTAGACTGTGTTACAGATGTATCTGATCTAGCCTCATACATTGCTACTGACAGTGAGACTGTGCTTGGAGAATGGGAAGGCAACATGGTCATACCTGCAGTGGACGAGGGCCGGTCTTACGATTCTGTTGTTCTGGAAGACCCTGAAAAAACTGACTCTGTGAGGAGTCCTAACTGGACTTTTTCACAAAAATTCCAGCAGCAGGAGGATGGCGTGCTGACAAATTCAAAGACGTCAAATGAGGTTTTGTTTAAACGTCCCAACCCTGCAGTACGGTCTACTGCAAATGTATCAGTTTGCCCTTCAAATAGGACTACATGTAGGGTTCCAAATTTTTCCAGCCCTGCCATTAGACCTGCAAAAGGTGCTAAGCAAACATCTCTTTCAAGCATGTCATTCTTTACAAAACCCCAGAAAGGCAGCAGGTGTTCTAATAGTACACTAACCTATTCAAGACTCGGTGTGAACAAATCTGACAGTTCTCTTACAGTCTACAAAAATCCAGTTTGCCCCAGTAATTCCAGCTTGTCCTCGAACAGGTCTGATGCTGGCTCTGCTCCCCCTCCTGTCCTGGCCTCACTCGTCAGCGGGAGCAGTAGCGGGAAAGTCACGCCTCCGCTGTGCGGCTGTGGCCGCAGAAGCAAGCGGCTCAGAGTCTCCAACGGCGGGCCAAATCACGGCAGAGCCTTCTACCGCTGCCCGGCTGGACCAACAGTCTCTGGACGCAACGGGAATTGTGGTTTTTTCAAGTGGGAGGCGGCACTGGGCAAAGGGAAACCCGCTGCGGCCGCCTGGTCTCGGAGCTGGGACTGTAGAGACCGCTCCACTTCGTCCGAGCAGAGTTTTGCTGGTGGGGGTTCAGATTCTGCTCAACACAGAAGTCTGAGACCCTCTTTAAGGACTTAGTCAATAGCAGCTGTGTAATTCCCATCTTGATTTTATTAATAGGCTGGAAAGGTAAATTTGTCATTACCATTGTTATCTCTTAAAGATATATGTAGGTTTTTGCTTGTACTTGAATACAAGTTTGACACTAAACCTACAATTGTTTAAGATGTATTAACAGGGTACTTCTATATTTTTATTTGGTGGTGCTATTACATATTACATGCTTTTAACCAGTTTGTCAAACATACTGATTTTTATATTGCTTTTTTATTTATTACTGCATCATGGTGTACTTCTGAAAGCATTCTGCACAAATGATTGAAAGTGACTATTTATGCGTCCTGTACGTAGTTGCAAGTGCACTATGGGAATACTGTTGACCTCATCTCTTATTGTCTACACATACAATTTTTTAATTAAAATTAATATAAGGAAATGTATGCTGGTGTTATTTTAGTCATCCAGGTGGGGCTGCACACTGGTGATGGGGGGAGTCTCCATTAGCTGTAAAGCGCTTTGAGTGGAGGGTCTAGAAAAGCGCTATATAAGTGTAAGGATTCTTACTATGCTTGATAGTTAGTATGAGGTTCTTGTGGTAATATGCAGTGTTTCTTTTTCGCCAAACGTAATTTTGCATTACAGCCAAACAGCTCAAATGTGTCATCGGCCCAGAGGTCATTGTTCCAGAAGTTTTGTTAATTCAGGTGCTGTTTTGCAAACCTGAGCCTTGCAGTAATGTTCTTTTTGGAGAGAAGGGGTATTCTTCTCAAAAGCCATTCTTTTCCTACTCTAACATTGACCATATTGACAGAGGCCTGTAGATCCCTGAATACAGCTCTCCAGCTATTCAACCTTCAGACTAATTTGATGACAGTTCTTGATGGTATATAATGAATCTCTCATCACTCAGTTGGGTAGAATACATCAGTTGTGGATCTCATCCTATATGTAGTCATTGATGGTGAATAACATTGTTTATATTTTGTTCCATAACTGGGGTTTAGAATGTTTTTTTTCCCCCTGTTTACAGTTATTACGTTTAATTTAAAAACGTCACATTTAATCACAGTTGGGTTACACTTTAATTTATAGTGCTAAATCAGTTACTTAAATAACCATACTGTAAATGGAGTTTGATTTTGCCGAGGGGAAGTGTCTTTTATTAGATCCTTCTCAGTCCAAGCATTAAGACTCAGAAAATTTAATTATATATCACTCAGCTAGAGTAAATATTTCAAAGCATAATTTTACAAAATCAGTTGTAGGAGCTTACTTTAAATAGTCTCCTTAAGTACAGACACTTACCGTATTTAAAAAGCTTTTAGAGTAGGATTAGAATACAAATATAGATACTAAAATCTGTAGAACGGAGTAAATATATAAATTCAACAGACTGATGATTGAGCAAAAGTTCAATTTACTCTCGCTCATTTTTAAAATCTATGTATTTTCACAATTCCTAATTACGTTGTATTTCTGCATATGATGGCATTAGGAAAATAGGCATTTCTGCAACATCTTCTTTCTGTCTTCATGTATGTACAGTATATGACATTTAATGTGCATTTGATCTTTTCAGATGACAGTACTGGCAGATGTACACTCGGTTTAACTGTGTCCCCATTCCTTGTTCCGCAGCTCAAGCCTTCGAATTTTACCGCTGACCGTCTTCGGCAGCTGCTCCACAAATTCAATCTTAGAAAAGAAAGCAGAAGTTAGTGTACGCCAAAATAATTTGCTTCAGAAACGCAGCTCCTGGTATGTGAAGCTACAGATCAGTTATGACTTGATATAGTTTACATCACAAGCCAAAAACTTTGGCTAAACTTGAAACTTTTACGATGACCACAATAACTGAAAACCTTAAAAATTAGAAAACCTATGAACTTACCTTGCGTGGATATTTATACGGAGCTGTAACTTGCTTTACGTGTTTCTGCAATTCTGCAGCCAGTTGTTGTTTATCATGCGCTGCGTATTCAGGAGTCAGAACAACAAAGGCCTTTACAACCTACAAAAAGTATACTCACATTATGGACTGCTCTGTACACTTCTCACCCTGCTCATTCTTTCAGTTCAGTGTTCGCTATACACTGTCCTACGCACGTACTGTAAGAGGGAATGACCTTTTCCAGAAAGGGTTGCAATAAAACGGTTTCGGCCACCTGCACAAGTCTCGGTTTCATTTACTAGATTTTCTCTTATGGTTTTTCATTCATCAAGAAAATCCCAAGTTACACCATACCTCTCCTCTCACTGGATCAGGGCTGCTTACCACAGCCGATTCTGCCACGGCTTCGTGCTCAGCCAGAGCGTTTTCTACTTCGAAAGGACCAATTCTGTATCTGAAAAACACAACAATACGATTCTGAAGCCGAACTGACTGGCAAGTCTGCAGGTTCACATGTCCAGGCCGTCTCCTCACGCCTTATGCAAGTCTGCAAAATAATGCAAGTCTGATTATATTCCACTGAAATGGAAATTTTTTCACAGAGCTCTGCTGCTTTGGCTGTGTAATATTACAACTATGTTGTGGGGTCACGGGACGTGTGTATTGAAGTGATCTGATTACCCTGCAGACAAAATGACATCATCTGCTCTCCCAAAAAACCAGAGGTAGCCATCCTCATCCATGAGGCCTCGGTCTCCAGTCAGATAGAAATCTCCTCTGTAGCACAGCGCTGTGCTCACTGCATCATCCTGTTCATGTAGTTTCAAATCACAAAATTAATTTACTGCAGTGTGCAAAGATATATTGAAATTAATAAAATAAAACACTTTACAGTGTATCCTGAAAAAAGGCAGAATGGCTTCTGGGGTTTCACTTTGATTGCAATGTTTCCTTCTGTACCTCGTGGAACAATATTACCCATCTCGTCTACAACCTAAAAACACAAACCCAAGTAAATATGTGTTAGATTGCTACCACAGAAAATACATCACTTTTCTATACTTGAGCTCACCGTCTGCACATCCAAATGTAAAATACAGTGGCTAGAATAATGTGGCAAGGTATTCAAAACCTCTTCTGTCTTTGAAATGAGGAGTAGGGATGCACATATTTTACCATATAAAGTAGTTGGTTATAATGTTGTTTATTGGTGCATCATTATAAGTTTCCACAACAGAATTGTACAAGACAGACTTACAGGAACATTTACCTGAACGTTGTAGGCTGGTGATGGTTTCCCTAAAGACCCTGGTTTGATTTTCATCCCTTTAAAAGTCCCAGCAATCAACACCTAAAACACATCATTTTAGCCATTTGTGAATATGATTGTATAGCTAAGTCATGTACTATAACTGTCCAGAGCAACACACCGTTTCTGTTTGTCCATATCCTTCATAGATGTCAAGTCCAGTGTGGTCCTTCCACTTCTCCAGCAAGTCCGGATTGACAGGTTCTCCGGCACACACGCAGTGCTTCAGGTACGGAAAGCGATACCTGCGCAGTGGGATACAATAGAGATCTGTTTGACCTCAATAATCCAGGCTGGCTTCCTCCGTTGCCTAAGTGTCTGGTCTGCAAATACATGGCATGTGGCATTTTAAAATATTTAAACTGGAACAGTTGGCTTTACAGAGTGATCTCCTAAAGAGAAAGATGCAGTCTCTTAAATGGTCAACCGTGGTGCAAAATGAAGTAAACCCCCTTAAGATATTGTAGTTCAACATAATCTTCATCTTCATCTTCATCTCACCAAGTCCTAATCGTAATTAAAACTAATCTCATTAGACAGCACACAGAATTTTATTTTATTTAAAACATATCAAGCAGCATCCACTCTTTGTGCACCCTTTAGTTTTACCACCTCAATTAACAGGGTGTGTAGAATCAGGAGCACCAGCACGTGTAGCCGATTCAGAAACTTTGTTTGTTTGGTCTGAAACACTTAGGCTGGTTGTAACGCAGCCGAGAAAAGTCATTTCTAAACAATAAGAAGTCCATCATTCCACAGTGAGAAGGAATCTACAAGTGGAAAAATGGTAAGACCAAAGACCTTTGCCAGTCTAACCAGCAGTGGCTGTCGTACTAAATTCTCTCCAAGATCTGACTGTATGATACTGCTAGAAGTCTCAGAGAACCCCAGGGTTATATGCAGGGGTCTTCAGGCCTCCCTCGATATGGTAAATGTCAGAGTTCACGGGTCCACCATCAGGGAAAGATCGACTGAGAGGGAAACCCCTGCTCTCCAAGAAGAGCAGTGCAGCATGTCCCAAGTGTGCAAAACAGTGCTTGAATAAAAACAAGATGTCTGGAAGAATGTGCTCTGGACAGATTAGTCAAAAGTTATTTGGTCATCATGCACAATGTCATGTCAGGCGAAAACCAAACACTGTCTCTGACCAGAAGAGCCTCATACCACAACCATTAAGGACGGGGTGAGAGTTTGAGCCTCCTGTGTTCAGGACCTGGATGTCTCGCTGTCATTCAGAGTATTCTAGATGGAAATCTGAGACCATCTGCCTGACAGCTAGAGCAGAACCAAAAGTAGTCATGCAACAGGACAGGGATCCAAAACACACAAGCAAATGTAGGACGTACTGTAATGTCTCAAAAGGATTAAATTGAGGATTTTGGAATGGCCAAGTCAAAGTCCAGACCTAAATACCATAGAGAGGCTGCACTGGGACCTAAAGAGAGCTGTGCATGCAAGAAAGTTCTCAAACATCACCCAGCTGAAACAGTTCTGTAAGGAAGAGTGGGCTAGAATTCCTCCCAGGCGATGTGAGAGACTGGCAAACTTACAGGAAATGTGTAACTCAAGTGACTGCTGATAAAGGGGGTGCCTCTAGTTACTTGGCTGAGTTTTTAAAATGATGAATTTCTGCGTGTCATTTGTCCAATAAGGATATTTCTATCTACTATTAGGACTTTGCGAGAACTACAGTATGTGAAGATCAGATGTCTAAATATGTCGAAATCTTAAGGGTTGGACTTTTCCACCACACTGTGTTGTGCAGCATTACAAGCTAAAAAAGCATTGTCTGTGATAGAGAAGCATGGGACAACACAACTAAACACTAGTAATATTATTGATACACAAAAAAATATATGGACTGGATGAAACTGAATTTCACTCTTGGGTATAAAGGTGGTATTTGAAGCTCATCAGATGCTTCACTATTAAGATAGTGTATTTCTGATTTTCAAAAACCGCACAGCATATAAGACCACAATAGTGGAATCTTGCGATAAACTAAAAGCTGTCTTTGCAGGACACTTTTTCTTACAATGTATGTGTGGATTCAGATTTTAAAGAAAAATGTTTATCACCCCCAAAAAATCACATAAACAGACGTTACTTTACCTTGAAATGTCTTCTTGCATCAGCATTCTATATGCAGTAGGAGCACTGCAGAACGCTGATATAGGATACTTCGACAAGGTCTGGAAATGCAGTTAACAAAGTCACAAAGATGATAATATTACAACTGTTAGTTTTACGCAAACTAAGTTATAATGACAGTAGTACTACTTTCTTTCCGCTATCTCTGGGGCTGTTGTGACTCAAAGTAACCTGTTTCACTGAAACAGGAAGTGAAGAGCGCGTGCAGTTTGGAATACCCCCCCAGCGAGACTCACCTCCAGTACAGTTCTGGGATGAAACTGAGCCATGCGGTGCACAAACACGCAGGCGCCCTGCGTCCAGGGGGCGAAGACGCTGCTCCACGCAGACTTCGCCCAGCCCGTGTCTGAAGTGTTCCACAGCACATCCTCCTCGGTCAGGTCGAGCCAAAACCTCCCCCCAGCAGCAAGATGACGGTTAGTGGGTTTTATTTAGAAGAGTACTTAAGAGTTGTGAAAAACATCCTTCTGTTTTCTGGAATTCATTTATTTATAGCAAATATGATTTTGTTCTGTGGAATGTTTTTACATTCCACAATGATTTTTGGAACAGTTTTAAAGCAAGACACATGATCCCAACTGTGACTCATTCTGTTAAATTATGTTTTTGGTTCCAGTTTCATTAGAGTACATTGGTATTCATCTGCAGAGCAGTAAACAGTTTTTTTTCCAATTCCTTCAAAACATTTAAGTGGTCTTTCCGTGTTGCATCATACCTGCCGTTGACTGCAAGTCCAATTCCATAGCTGCAGTGGGTGTGTTGTGTCATTTTCGGAGAGCCCGTGGTGCCGCTTGTGAAGAATATGGTCATGGGATCATCACTTCTTGTCTGCATGCAGGTGTGTTCGCTTGAAACAGTCCTTCAGGGCACAGTACATAGGCAGGATTACTCATGTCCATGTGCTGAACAGCAGCAGCAACGGCAAAAACCAATATAAACATATTCTCTCGGATGCATTAACATGACCATTAGTTAGAACAACGGGACAGGATATACCATGGCTACTGTGTTTGTTTTTAGTTCTAATATGAAACAGAAAAGATTTAAGATGTTTTACTTAGAGAGCTCTGTGAGATTCATCCACCCATCTTGCTTCTTGTTCGACACAAGAAGCTTAGCTTTCAGCCAGGAACATTCGGGGGAAATGGCGTTGATCACTGGAGCCAGGGACTCATCCGTAATGATGCACTTGGCTTGGGACACACGGAGTCTCTGAAGAATATCTCGAGCTGTCAGCTGGGAGGTTCCAGGTATCAGGACTGTACCTATGCGAGAAGGAATTTAGCTCACAAGCGAGAAGTGTCAATGTGCTTGTTAAACATTCATGGTTAATGCTACAAAGATCACATAATTATATTTAGTGAGGGCTCATAGATCAGAGGAATACAAATGTATAAAACTCTCCAAGGAGAGAATAAATAGTGACCATTTTGGAGTGTTCTCTTTTTAAGGGGGAATGCAGTTAAGCTTTACGTTTGAGTGAATTTCTTACACATGCATGCAGGTTCAAAATGTCTGTCATGAGTCAGTTCCCACCTCCAGTATAGCTACCGACCTGTTCTCATACACGCCACATTCACAAGCCACCATTCTGGGAGTCTGGGCAAAATCAAAAGCACTCGGTCTCCTCTTTGAAGATCGCAAGGGCCTGACAGAACATTGGCTGTTCTTCTGGAATGGAGGGCCAGCTCTTCAAAGGTCCATCTTATCTGATCTCCGCCGTCATTCACCCACCAGAAGGCCGGGCTCTCTGCTCTGCCTCCGAGCTGGAACAGGAGCAGACTGTTAAGGACCCTGCCAGCAGTTGGCTTGTAAAACAAGATTACTACTGGAATCATACATGCTGTATGTTTAGAAGCTAACTTCCACCAAAACTCTTGCTATACAAATCACCAAAATGTCTCCCCGTCTTTTAATGTAAATTCAGTTTAATTTTGTTTAGCTTAAATGGAAATCTTTCCATTTAGAAGTAAAGTTTATACATATCCTGAATGTGGGACAGATTATAAACTCAGCTGGAAAATAATTGTGTGTATTACAACAGATACTGTAAATGATTGCATTTTGCAGATACTGCAAACTAAAAACAGCAAAGAAAACTCAAAGTATAATTTTACCTTGCTATATGTTAATTCAAAAATGCAAGAAGTGCACTGATGACAATCAGTTTCAGCTGCTTCGTAAATAAGTCGCTCTGATGGTCAAATCACATGGCAGCATTCGATGCGTAAACACAGAGCAACTTGACATAGATTTGTAAACTGCGTTTTACCTTGATCTAAATATTTTTTGCTGTTTGCTATACTATACCACTCAAATGCAATTAACAATTTTATAGGGCAACAGTTTTATAGTGCAGTTAATTTTAATACTGCACTATAGTCTAGTGAAACAATGGAAAATGTCAGCGTGCACAATAAAAATGACAAAAAATGTGATCAGCGTCTAGAAACATCACACCACTATTTACAGTACATCAAAAAAATGGTAATATTCGACATTTTAAAAAATTGCCTATTTTTTAATCTGATACTGCATGAATATATTTGAGAACTGTATGTAAAGTGTCAATCTGTTACGAAAATAATTTCATTTCTGAATCCCAGAGCCCGACCTTCTCTCGTTAGCCCTTTGAGGCTCTATAGAGTGTGCTTTTCACTCATGCCTCCCAGATGGACACTGGGGTCTGCTTGTAACATCCCGTGAAGTGACTGAATGTTTTATTACCAAAAATTACTGAATTACTCTTGCAGAAAAGGCAATCAATACTTGAAAACTTAAGATCGGCCACACCATGGCCTCGTTTAACAAAGACTCAAATCATACGTTATATAAAAATGTAATCATGTTCACAGGAACATTGTTGTCTCAATAAACCTTTTCCTTCTCTGCCCATTTGTCAATAACATCCTTCGCGAAGTTGAAATGCTCGGGGACTTGAGGATTGTGGATCTTCCTCAAGCTTTCATAGTCTTCGAAGTTTCTGGGGACAGACGAGAGGTGCCCGCGGCGCTGATGGCGTGTCCCCAGAAGGGCCAAGATGGAGCGACACCCTCTTCCAGGACCTTTCAGCACTTTTAGGGAAAATGCTAGCTTAGCCATGACGCAAATGAGAGTTGCGCTCCCTAAAAATAAGAATAAGAAATCCTGAAGCATCGAGGTGTGGGAAATCGGTAACATGTTGCAGATGCATATGGTCACATTTGCATTAATGTTTCATTTTCTAGACTGTTATTTCGCAAGACGGAGACCACTAATTTTGCTGCCTGACAGGATTGGACAGCTGCAGCCGCGTACCAGTTTGAGATTATCTTGTCACGTGAAAGGAATCCATATACACCCAGTCTAGTTTATTTTCGTGTCAGAAATCATTCGCAATGTCAGATTACCGAGCAAAATAACATCCCCACAAAAACTATAGCTATGACATCTGCTAGGTTTAAATATGCGAGACACTATTGCTTTCTGCGTTTAGAAAATGTAAACACGAAATGCAGAATATGAGCATAACGTTGACTAGAATATCAGCATGTAACGTCACAAACCACAAGGGCTTCACGATATAAAATATTGATGGAAAGAACATCCCTTTAATGCTTCGGTGTCGGTTATTGACTGGGTTTATTCAATCACAACCGATTGTGTTTGGAAAACCAGTCATTAACTTGGTTGCACGGACAGTGTGAGTAAACGATTCCCAGTGGGTTTCAGCTTCAAAACACGTTAATGGTCATGTTGTCTTTGTCTAAATGTGAGTTTTCTCTGCGTCTGAATGAACGTTTAATGTGATTCAACCTACAGCAGAAGGTGACACTTCTCAGTCCTGTGAACTAACTTCTCTCCAGAGGGATGTCGAGTTGTTGATCACCCAACTCCTGCGCAGTTATCAGGCGTGCTGGCGTGGGAGGAGTCAGCTGATGACTGTCGCTGCAGAACTACGTCACAGATGCGACGCGCGGAGTGAAGAGCTGTTTGAGGTTGGTGGGATACACGTGTGTGGTGTTTGTGTTACCGTTTCCTAAACAGTTATCGCGTAAGTATTGTTTACAGAAATCATAAGAAAGTGCCCCCATAAAGCACATCTAGAAAAACGCTGCCTACATTAAAACTTGTTTGCAATCAGAAAGGAGTAGATTATGACTGAAGTGAATCTAATTTGTGTGTTACACTTTATTGTCTGTGTCGAGTCGATAAACAAGCTTAAGTATGTTACAGGGCTTTCTATTTAGACTAGGGTGATGTACTGTCGTGACATCCTGTTTAACTTGTCTGCCATGTTAATGTATGCCATTATGCAGTTTTCTGTTATGCACGAATGTATAGTATACTATGGTATTGCGTAAAAAGTACATGCCTGCTCGGATTTAAAAATGAAAAATAGTCTTTAACGTGTTTATCGTGAACTTAGAAAGGCTTAAGTGTCTGTGGCTGCTTGTACTTTTGTCATGTGTGCCTCGTGAACGGTTCCAATGGTTATTTCACAGCATGGCAGCGGCTCGAGAGTGTAATAAAAGAAGCAAGAAGCAGTTCACGAGCTGTCCTGCCAAGAAGCCGAGGAGCTCGCGGGAGCTGGAGGTGGGGATGCAGGGGATCCTCATCACCTGCAACATGAACGAGAGGAAGTGCACGGCAGAGGCCTACAGCCTGCTGAACGAATATGCCGATGAGCTGTATGGACCGGAGAAGGTGAACCATTTGGGTTTATCCTGCCCCACTGTAATGTGAGGTTTAACTGGGGGTGCTTTTTCAGCCATAATGTTTCTGCCTTCTCCAGGAGTTTGTCCCGCTGTTTTAACTGACACAGTGTGTGAATACGTGGGCACAGGATTGCTCTGGACGTTTTGCCTTCTGTCATTTTTGCATGCTGTCTAGTTTACAGAAGAGGAAGAGGGGGACAGCGATGGGGAGGACTGGGGCGATGAAGATGATGCCGAGGCGGCCGTGAAGAAGGAAGCGAAACAAATCACTATGGCAACGCAGAAGAGAGAGAGACGCTTCCAGGCGCTGGCCAGTGGGGCGAACAACGTGGTTTTCATAAGGACACAGAACATAGGTGAGCGCGTGGTCTCTGCCACTCCTGAGAGGCCCCAGTCATCACACTCTGGGCCTCTGGCCTGCAGGCTGTAGGAATATGAGCTAATGGTTCATCAGTTGCATTTAAATCATAATTTAAAAGCAAAACATAATTATAACTGGTTTGTCTTCTCTTGAACTTCTCATCAAAGAGGGAATGGCAATCATTTTGCAAAGGACAGGATTAAATCAAATGTTAGCCTACTGTCAAAATGTTCTTTACAAACCTGGAATTTTATAGCTGCTATACAGTTTTGCACCAGTTTCTTTTTTCATTAACCCAGTTGTAACCTACCACTGAGTAGAAGGTTCATAATTTCTAACTAAAGAGAGTTGTGAGGTGTAGATTTCAAGTCAGCCATAATTGGTGTGACAGTGTGAGGTATAATCTTGCCCCTACAGGGTTTATAGTCTTATAACATTGTTCCTTGTACCTGTGACAGAAACAAGCTTCTTAGTTATGAGTTTGTTCTTGCTTTTCTTTTTAAGATCCTGCCAAGCTGGTATACCATATTCTCCAAGACTTGCACACAACCAAGAAGAAGAAATCCCGAGTGATCTTGAGGATGCTCCCTGTGAGCGGCACCTGCAAGGCCTTCATTGAAGACATGGAGAAGTACCTCACAACCTTTCTGGAGCCCTGGTTCAAGAGCCCCAGCCAGGGCACCTTTCAGATTGTCTTCAAGGCTCGGAACAGCAGTCATGCAAAAAGAGAGGAAGTCATTAAAGTTTTGGGAGGTAGGTAGTTGTTCTAATCACTGTATTTTGCTGTTAATAATAATAATGACTTAATACTAACATAGGTAACAATTTGTTATCTAAGGATGGCTCAGATATGCCCAAAAAGGAGGGTCTTTCTCCATTTTCAAAATCCTTGATTATTCTTCACTCATAGCAAATTCCCAGTGGACTAGTTGAGTTCCCTCTAGGTATGCAGACTGCGCCTATTCTTTCCTGCTGTGGGAGTGGGACATTAAATATGTTGCAGTATAGTTACAGGTTAAGTCACCGGGAAGATGAGCAAAAAAAAAAAAATGATCGTACATGCCAGTTTAGAATAATGACAAGTAAAAAAGATACAATAATACAGGGGAAAGTTGGAAGACCCTTTTTCAAGTTATTGACTGTTTTATCTGTGTTTCTCTAAGACACACTGTGGCAGTTTATTGCATCTCCGCAGATCTCGAGGCAAAGCTGTGGCTGCTGTAAGTTGGATTGGTGGGCTTGGAGATGGGTTTATTTCCTCTAACCATTTTATGTTTTTGTAGGGTTGGTAGGGAAATTGAATCCTAAGAATAAAGTGGACCTCACCAACCCTGAGTACACCATCATAATCGAGATCATTAAGACCGTGTGCTGCGTGAGTGTGGTGCAGAACTACGTCTTGTTCAGGAAGTTTAACGTGCAGGAAGTGATCAAAAACGATGAGAAGAAAGAACAGACGCAGCCAGCTGAGAGCTGCGAGGGGCGACTCCCGACAGCAGAGCACGGGTCAGCCGAGGACAGCGAGAAGAGAGAAGGGCAGGAAGGGGGAGAGGGCGCTGCAGATCCCCAGCGCTCGCTCACCAGTGCGCAATGACACTTTCCACCCTACAGGTACACTTCAGACCTCCTGTCTTGTAGTAGAGTAATCCAGTGTAAACCTTGTGCTTTGTGTTTTAAAATGTGCTTGAGTGTTCCTTGGTGAGAGTGGAGCTCCTATTCAACAGCATCATGGGTGGTTAGGAAAGGGAATGTCTGCATCGTAAGCTGTCCATCTGAGATCCTAGCAGATGGGTGAAAATGAGAAATCTGGAATGGGAAAATGGTATACTGTCCCAGTAGATGTGCAACAAAGGTCATTAAAATAACTCAATTGCACTGCAGTTAGAACAAATGTTTAATTACAGAAACAGTATCTCCTTTAGGTGAATTTGCCCAAATGTTTCACTGTAGATTTCCATAAGAAAATGAGTGAAAATGTTTGTGATATGTGTATTGTTTCAACTGTATTTAGGTCTTAAAATAATGTAGAATAGAGTGGATCCGGTTCATCTTCAAAATTAGAATTTGTTTCACTGTGAATCTGTTATACATTGTCCTTTTTTATGTCTCCTAAATTTTCAAGATTTTATTTTGCTGTAGAAACCCACTCAGTCCTTTATTTTGGACATTCTTTTTTTTTAAGGCTTCCAAAACTGACAAGTAATGATATTGGATTGCTTTTGGCTTTGTTGTTCTTTTTATCTGCTCTTTTTGAGCACATTATGGGTTTTTCTGCTTGGTGTTTGAAATAATTCTTCTTCAATTTGGATAAACTTGTTAGTGCTCTCAGTGTTGATAAAAGTCAATCCTTTTTTAAGGATTAGCTAAGCGGTCTGTTTTTACATGACTACAATTTTCACTTCTTTTATGATTTGACTATTTTTTAATTAATAATAGGAATTGTTTTAAGAGAAAATATGGTGCTTCATCTAATGGATAATAGCTCTCCCTATGCTGTATTTCAAACTACATGTTTTTGAAAATTCCATACAGATAACAAAAATGTCAAATGGTTTCCAGAGGTTTGTTTTACTGTGTAAGAAGTGTTTTCTTGTGTGTTTGATGTCTTGCTGAAGCGCTGGTGTAGTGTGTGAAGATGGCCACAGGAGGGAGTGTGTTGCCATCATTGATAATTGAGCTTGAAAAATAAAAGCTAGCTGTAACAATGAAATAACGGCCATGAAAATTGCTGGCACTCACTTGCCTAGAGAAGTGGAGGTCGTCTTAACTCACTCTTTATCTGCTGAACTGAGATAACTCCCTGTCATTGTCACTCCCATTTAAACTAATGAGAGGAAGATAACTGCCGTAGGTGTGTGCCACCGGTGGTAATTTGATAAGGAAAGCATCTAATTGGCATGTCTGCCTGGAAATCCGTTTTCCTTGCTAAATTACAGCTCTATTAATGTAAATGAACAAGTTAGTGCAGTTAAGTATATTAAAGACATACCTCCGTTGAAGCATGTCTGTTCTTGAAATTTCCTTTTCAAACTCCATCTGCGTGCCCTGTTGCCAGTCAGTGCGTCTTCCTCCTTCAGCGCACCTTAACGACAACAGCAAGCCTGTCCGGGATTAGGCCAAGCACAGCCGAGCAGTGACTTCGCCAAGATATCATGGAGCAAATCTGGGTCCGTTACGGAAGAGTACTGCCAGACTTGTTGGCGACATCCTGCAGCGACTGCATGTACCTTGTACCACACAGCAGCTCTTCACACCCAACAGGCTGAAGCAGAGGTCCATTTGTCTAATGAGGCTTGCGGGTTGTGTCCTCCAGGGAGCCTGTGGGCCCACGTCACTGGGGCTTCAGTCACACGCCACTGCTTACTGGTGACGGGGCCTGTCCCTTGTGCACCTGTCTCTCCTATACACTCATCACCAGGCTGGAGTACAGCTCGATCAGGTCCAGGTTCCTGTTGTCTGTTTCCCAGTCTCTGTCCGCTTACCGTTCTGTGCGTGAGACCTTGGAGATATTGCATTCCCAGAAAGTATGCAGATTTATTAGCGGTTTTCAGGAAATGAATGCTGTTCAATAGCACACAAATCACACCAGAATTTAAACTAAATTATATTCTGATATAATGTATGCTAAAAGCTTTAGGGGAAAGATAAGGCGTAAGTGTAATTTAAAGTTGCCAGTCTCTAATGCAGGAATGGACATTCGTGGTCCTGAGGGTTGGTTTTTAGCTTAATCAGCTCAGTACTGGTTTAATGGGGCCAATTTAACAGCTTCTTCCAGCTTTTCAGGTGCCCCTGCTTTGAAGAGATCTAGAAAACCTGCAGACATGCCAGCCCTCCAAAACCAGGACTGCCCACACCTGCTGGGGTTGAGCAATCGGTTCCACAGGCAGCTGCCAGACCCAAAGAGGATCTGTTGCCTTTGGCAGAGTAAAGACACTAAGCAGAAGATCAAGACTTGGGCTATACTCATGCAGTTCCTAAAACAACCCTGGTTACTTAAAATGAAATGTCATTCCTCTGTCTGTTTACTTCACAGTGAATTTTGCAGGGAAATACCTGACAAAGACTTCAGCAGTACTCAGTCAAGGTTTTTTTTGTTGGTCTGCTGAAGCAAGATTTAAGCTCCCATCTCCTCTGCAAGTCTCACGTTCTGCTGTGAGTAGGGCTAATTACCAGGGCAGAGACTATTAGATTATGGTATTGGTTCTGCTTAAGTAGGAATCCGAATGAATGCATTATAGCGTACAGAAAGAACCTATAACGGTGGTAATTAAAAGCAGAAAGAACACGTTTTTTTGGTTCCTCACTATAAATAAGCATTATTAAATGGCCACTGTTACAAAATGTTCCTGGCGTGTAAAACTACATTTATGCAGGTGTGGTAGTAGGTTTGTACGCAAAGCAAATAACTTCCTTATTCTCGTTAAGCGGCGGTGATGGGGTAGAGGTGCAGCGATGACTCCAGTTCAGCTGAAATCAGTCTGGGTGAAACCAAGGAACCATTGACCCTGGGAGGCAGGAGCGGGTTAAGTGGGCGGCCGCGGGTGGACCTACATTGTGTCTCTCTTTGGGAAAGGACAGCCGTAGCAGGAAGTTGCACCAGTGGGTGATTATAGCACATGGAAGTGTGGGAGGGAGAATGACAGACAAGGCATTCTAAAACCAGTCAGTGCCACCTCTCCCTAAATACTGTAGACACTATATAACTCTTACACACTGTACATCGCTTCTCGCATTCATTCACAACTGTCCTTCCTCCACCTTCGCTGCTGCCCTCTGGTTATCTCCTCTCTCTGAGCCGGGGGTTGAGCCTGGTGCTTCTAGCCAAAGCTGAAATACTCGGTACACATTCACAAAGCAGCCGATTCTTGGATGTCTTTACTCCTCGTGCAACAGTGTCTGCTATTAGAACATCTTGTTAATGAAGCAGTATAGGCTTATAACAAAAAATATATAATTCTGAATAGCTTTTTTACAGATGCTGTTTATGTATTTTCATTATTAATTCCTGTAACTTCATTATAGTGATTCGAACTTCATATTTTCCCAAACACTTACATTTCACGTTTTCATAATCTGCTAATAAAAACTGCACACAAGCCCACTGTCCCTAATGAAGACTTACTGTACGTCGGTCAGGCACCGGGTTTAACAGGAGCTAAAGCTTCACCAAACTGGAGCAGCTCTGGACCTCTGGAAGCACCGTTTCTGATCTTCCTTCCATTTGATTTGAGCTAAGAATTTTGAAAGAAATAGTCATAGCATTATGGCCTTGAAGATGGGGTTGCCAGTCTTGTCATGGGGAATAATAGGTTAATTAACAGAAGTAATTATGATGATTAGTCTCCCACTTTTGTCTGGCCAGTATTCTGTAGAATTTTGCTTTCACTGTGACGTTATAGAGTGTTTTGTCTTGATCGATGGAAAATACAAATGGTAGCCACTGTAGGAAACACATTCAACAGCAGTAAAATAGGAACCTGGTTTTCTGCATACATCTAAATAACTTCAGCATGATTATTTTCATTATGACCTCCTTCTATCTTTTTTATTCAGAATCGCCAATTATTTTTTATCCTAAGCCCACCCGATCTGGAATCGTCTGCCCCCCCACCCCTGGAGCCTCTGTGCCCCCTGCCTGCGGAGCTGCATGAGGACCAGGCTGCTCATCGGTGTGCCTCACAGTGGAGTCTGGGTCTCGGGTGATAATTATCCTGCAGCTCAGAGCTCTGTGTACAGGGAGAGGTTAATTTACCCCCTGTCCTAAAATAGCATTTTTACATTTTTGTAATATTCTTTTATATTACTCTGTTTGGTTTATATTATTACAATTTTTTTAAACTTGATGAGTGTAGTTAATTGGGCTCATGATATACATGAAACTTGTGGTGTATATGAATGATCTAGCTAGGTCCCCAACAGGCAGAATTAAAATCTGGACACTTGTAGACAGGCGAAGAGTTCAATTAAGTAAGTATTAATTTGTTGCAGTCTGTAATTGAAAATATGAATATATGGCAATAAAATAAAGCTTTTATTAAGAATGTTTTCCAGTATCAATGTGTACCAATGACACATTGCCACCTGCGGGAAGTCTCAGGGATGACCTCTTCACTCCGAGCTGAAGGTCCCAGCAGCTCCATCACTAACGGCCCCGTCAGCTGTGCTTCTCCACTCCCAGCTGGCATGACAGGAGGCTTCCGGTAACACTTGCTGCGTAATGGCTTCATAATCCCTTCAGAACTTCTGCACAAGATGTTAAAATCATGTGCATAATGCTTTCCAGGGACAAGCACAATGACATAACGTTGTGCCGAGTGCTATAAATGATGTTTTAATTATATAATGTTACACAGCAGTGTAACTTATTCTACATCCCCACAATCCCTGTGTGTAAAAATGTCTTTATTTTAATAACGCTTTTTCGACATGTCGTGACTTGTGCTCTGCGTTGTGCTGTGGTTTCCCAGTCGGTCCAGACTGTGGGCCTGGCTGTGCCCCTGCACTGCAGCGGAGAAACCGCCGGTCTCGGGGGCTCCTCCACGTGGTCAGTTGTTGTGAAGTGAAATCTGTAAATCTCTCTGTGGCAGACTGTTGTAAGGGTTACTGTTGCAACTAAAAGATCAGACTTAATATCTTGAAATGCTGGGTCCTGGGAAACAGTAAGGTGAAAAGTGCTCTTTCATTACAGTGTGGAAAACAAAAACCTGTCTCTCCGAGCTCTTCCTACACTTCTTCACAGTCCTTCTATTAACGCAAGCAGGCCGCCAGGTTCCAGCAGGTGTCTGGAGGCGGAAGCGCTGCTCCCCCGTCTTCTGCCTCGGCCACTGTGCCCCCCGGCACGTTGTCTTCCAGCGCTGGCCCCTGGCGCGCAGCGGCTCCTTTCCATCCACCCCGATTGTGCTGATGGTGCGCAGCTTCGTTCCCTAGGCTTCCTGCATGCACTGCTCCCTTAGGCTTGGCAGCCTTGTGACGTTTTTCGATCCCATATGATGATGATATTTTTTCGTAGTTCTTGACCAGATTGATGTCTTTACCCCCCAGTCTGTAGCCATGTCTCCCTGCCGCTGGAGGTCTTCTCCCTGTGTGCATTTCCGGTTAGTTCCCTCTAGCTGTAAGGGCTTTCTCATGCCTCCAGCAGGATCCTCCCTCTGCTAATGCCTTTCCACAGGTTGACAGGATGTGTTCTAGGATTGCTGGCTTCCTGCTGTGTGTGCAGCTTGCGTCTTGTATACCCCCCAGGTAACGAGGTCTGTGGACTGGTGGGACGTCATTCACACTGCAGAGCAGCAGTCCCTCGTCTCCATAGACCCACGTGATCTTGTCCGTCTCCCTCTCTGCCTCATCGCAGCCGCTGGCGCCCCCCGGAGTCAAGGCCAAGCTGCAGTGTGGAGCCTAGCCTGGCAGAGGACTGGTAGTGACAGTAGCCGTCGCCACGAGACCAGCATAGCAACCTGACTCCTCTTTCGAGTACTTGGATTAAAAAGGAGATCCAAAGTGCTTTAATTTTCTCAAAAGTAAAACAAAAGAATTCCCAGTAAAATCTAATTTTTTGAAGTGATATGGAACCTAAAAACAGATTACTGATTGCACAATTCCATCAGCACGTAGGGTCTAGAATTCGGGTTAGTGTTGAATGGAATAATGATACTTGAATAACATTAAATGAAAAACTGAAGACCCATTTTGATTTGGTATAATTCTAAAGGTATGAAGCTGGGGTAAAGGTGACTGAATTTCTCCTCATTGTCTGAATCTTTCTCCCTCCAGTAAGCGGTGTTGAAATGTCACACAGACAGCAGGGGCTGGAAAGCATGCCGCTGTGTTATCAATGCTGATTAATTGTGCATTAATTGATGAGGGATTTGCATCACCCAGCAGTCTGCTATAGCCTGCCTTTTCAAACACAGTCTGCTCCTGCCTTCGTGATGTTTTAATTTACAGCCGAAGTCCTGCAGAAGTCACACCAGAGGTTTTTTCTGCTAATTACCCTTTCAGACCTATTTAATGCTGAATACAGATAATTATCCCTGCTCCCTGTAGCTCATGGGCATCCAACCAGTCAAATCTGTCTTTCAGGCTTTGTGGGGAGTAACACTTGTGTTAAAGGTCAGAAGTATTTGAAACAATGATACAGGCTCCAGTGGTACACATTCCCATATGACCAAACTCGCATTCATTATAGAAAGTGCAAACTGTTTCATTGACCTTTATGATCCACAGAGACCTTCTCTATTCCACTGGGCCATAAACATGTCATACCTTCTGTCCTTTTCTTCCATTTTGTTTGGCAACAGTCTCATTTTCTCTACTTCTGTGGAACAGTAGAATTTGCTGCTCATAAATACCTGCAGTTTGGCAGTTTTTCCTTAACACTGTTGAAAATATTACGGAGGATTTTAAAAGATTCAGTGAAAGAATTGAATACACTATTGTTGCAGATCTGTCTTTAAATGACAGAGAGGTCTTTCCTAAAGGAAATATAACCGGAAGGGGAATCTCTGGGCCAAGGCTGAGGCTCTCTGTGGTCCAGATCCTGCTGTGCTTACCTGGTCTCCCAGTTTGCCAAATCTCCCAGCTCCTTTCCCAGTGGTAGCCCAGCAGAACTCACTGCGGCGCTGACTGGTGGTTGCCTGGGTCTAGCAGAGAATGACACCCTCCTGTGTTCCGTACCGATTTACAGACAAACCTCGTTGAACCCACTGGTGACGGATCACCCAGCCGCACCTGTGTGCACTTAGTTCGACTCTAAAATGTCTAAAGGTTTTCGCAAAAAGAAAATGTCATCACCTCAACTTAACAAAACCTGTAAAATGCAGCCAAAAACCCAGTCACAGTTTATATATAATCGTTAAAATGTTATAAAAAATGAATAATCCTTAGAGCATTATAGGAGAACAAATATACATTTCCCATTGAGTTTGCAATGTTGATAATTCTGTGTGAAATAAACTTCTGATCCTTAAACATTTTTGACAGATTTACGGTATGTTCATGAGTCTCATCAGTTAGAAAGCTGCTTTTTTCTGGCAGGAAATAGCCAGGGCCTAGGGCTTGCATTCAGTATTAATACTAATGAGAGATTTCTACAGCATCAAGAATACTGCACAAACCAATACCGAGCAGTCTTGTGACACACCTCATGACAAAAGGCAGGGCAAATCAGTGGATAATATTCGGAAGCAATCTGAAAACCTGTATTTACTGGTATTGTACATCCAATACCACAGTTTCCTAGCAACAGAGGTGTTTTGATAGATACTTCTTCATATTTATTTTAAACACCAGAGGATGAATCCACTGTAAAGATTGATAAAAGCATTTGAATAATAATAATAATTCATAATAATAATAATTTGCATGAAAATAATTAAGTGCAAATTATTATAAATCTGTTATTGGCTGCAATTGACCCAAAGCAGTTGTAAAAAACAAACTAATTTTATATAAACTCATACAGTATAACTAGCTTTATTTAGAAACAGTCAGTTGCAACAGCGACTTAGTTTCCTATATGCGTTAAAGGTCTAGTTACATTGAAGTAACTCATATTTACTGTATTTTTTTCTTTGAAGGTATGAAACCAGATAACTGAAGGTTTACCAGAGGGATAGTCAGATAAACTTGAAGGGAGAATAGTAGTATCTGTGAAGACTGGGATGAAAATTGATGAGTGCTGATGAATCATTGACCTCAGAGGTTGCTACTCATTATTGTAGTCAGAAGAATGATAACAGAGTCTAATCATATAGCAGCTCGTTCATTTACAGGTGGAATGTTCTGTTCACTGGTTACAGCTTGTTTGTATAAACCATCAATAGTTCATTGAGTGGTTAAAGAAATTGTTGGACACTTGTACTTGCACCAGTACAGTAGAAAAACTACTGTAAGAACACTCTTTTCGTGTAGTTATTTCAGTTTTTGATACACTAATTCCTGGAGAAATTCAGTAGTTTTAAAAGTGAAAAAATGAAACATTTCAGGAAACAAAGAACTGCAATAATGTTTATTACCCGTTAGGAGCACTGGTATCTCTCTCCACTCGTTTTCATTTTTACTAAACCTCCTAGTGTAGGATTAACCATTAAATCTTTGATTTATAATAATTGAATTATTATTGACATGTTTATTGAGCAATGTGTCTAGAAAATCAGTGTCTGAACTTACTTAAAGTTTTGCACACTTTCTATAAAATTGCTCATGTTTTGATGAGAAATATTGACACAAATGGTGAATATATCATTTAAAATTGAACAAAATCTGACATCATTGCAAGGGGTGAATACATCTGGGGGGCACTGTCCAGTATATGAATAAATACTAATTAAAAACAGCATATACTTTTAAAGAAATATGCAGTTGCATAATGTAACTGTAAAGGATATAGCTCAAGTGAGATATGTAACTCAGGTGGACATGTATGCTATTTGTTATTAAGGTTTTCTTCCTTTATTGCAGAGATCAATTTTTGATACTAAAATCAAATCTGACAATATACCAGATTCTAAGATGGCGAATGATAAAATAAAAATAAAACCTGTTTGTTTATGTAGTGTCCAGTGAATTACCGTTCTGGGATGAAGTGTATTTAACACTGATAGAAAAGTGTTATACTATGTTTAAAATTCATATCTAAATGATTGCAGTCCCCATAGAGCCATGAAGCACAGCTAGAGGATTAAATTAACAACGACTTATAAAAGACAAGGTACTGTAGGAATGTTCATATTCTACATATAGAACATAATATATATATATAAGGATTCACATCCATGTCTGTATAGAACACAGTAAAAAAAATGTAAATGGCCTTCATTTAAACGAAAATCCAGGCTTAATGAATATCCCCCAGCAGAATGGTTTATAAAGTGATTTTATAATGAAGAATGTTTATCAGCATTTTACAGCTCTTCATTTTTTATTTATAACAATCCATGCAACACAGCAGGTGCTCACAGTGCCAATATTGATTCTCCTGTTTATTTCTCAGTCTCCCTAGACCTCAGGCTTGTTGAGAGTCAAAATAATCAAATGATACTTTTGATTAGGGTGGAAGGGATTAAGAATCTTGGATGATGATGTTTTTCTGCACGAAAGATTGCATATTTTTTTCTATTTGTTATACTGAATAAAACCAAATGTGGTAAATGTTTTTATTGTGATAAAAATACACCCACAGCCCTTGGGACCCGTTCATTGCTTCACACAATGAAATGGTTATAATTGAGAATATGCAGGTACAATTTCTTATGCAGTTTGTATTTTCCACTAGTTCACATGTGACTTTTTTGGGAGGGATCGTAAGATTAACGATTGTTAATTTTCTATCAGGAAAAAAGAGAATTGCTTCAGTATTTCATACCCTTAATTGTCACAGACATGAAAAACAACTACGAAAATGTTGAATAATTGATTAGGGTTCTAGAAATATATATATTTTTTACAGAAGAGAATATCATTAAAATACGTTGTTCCTTTGTTTCAAAGGGAATGTGTGCATACAGTACTCACACCTTCAAACATGTCAGAAGACAGTAATCAGGTTTACTCTGTATACAGCAAGCTGACGTTAGTAAACCATCGGAAAATATTGCTGCTCTCATGGCGGCAGCTCTCTGACCTTGTGGAGCCCCAGGGTGTCAGAGGCTGCTGCCTCTGCCTCTAGGCTACGCTGATGCAGTGATCTCCCTTTGCAAACACTGCTCCAGATTTACATATGGTGCCTCCAGATGTGCTTTGCCCTTTGCTGCTCTCTCTTCTTTCACACGGAAAGTTTGATTTTGATTTGATTTGTCATTTGTTAAGAGAATTAAATAGGAGCAATTACATTTTTCTAACCACAGGAACAAACATTTTACACACGATTTCTACATATTGCACAGCACCGTTTGTGTTTCTTAGTCACATCACAAGAAGTGAGAACGTTCTTATGATCTCTTCCCAGTCCTCGGCTAATCCTCATGTTTTAAATCACGGTGAAACAGATTCAACCTTATTCCGTTTTACACCTTTTTAGATGGGTTCAGATGTAGCAAAAATGTAGACCAAAAATGTGTAGACATAAGAAAGTGTATTTTATTGTTATTTTTGGTCTGTTATATAGAAACAATCGGTAGAACTAAAGAAGAGATTTATGGAAATAGGGTACCAGAAATGGTCAGCATGGATTCGGAAAAGTACGATTGCAAAGGCTGTAGGCACCCAGGTTGTATGTATCTGGATTAAGAACAGGTTGATGGTGAATACAGACAAAGGGTGAACTACTTATCTCTTCCTAATTTATAATAAAGTAAAGACACACACTACACACAACATCAACATACACATTTCTCTACGGACATGTTTACAGACAAGGTATTCCAGAGACCACCCAGATATTCCCAGACTGCTACCAAGTACTCGACTTTCACATAATGCCTACAGAGGCCAAAATAAAAGCTGCCTTCTAAACTAAATGTAAGACTTACATGACTTCTCCTAGATTGCCAGTGCTGTACTCAGCCCATGACTTTTCTTTAGCCAAGTTTTCTATATCAGAATTGTCCAGAAATGTAGCAGTGTTTAACTTAGGAATGGGCACCTAAGTACCTGATCCTTTCTGTTTTGAATTCCACTGAGATCAAACAAGAAAATGTTGGCACCTACAGGAATCAAACAGAATGATTCACAAAGCTTAGCTAAGCAGATTGATTGCCTTTTCAGAAACAGCTGGATGATCTTTGGATGAATTAGCTACAGCTCTGTGTAGTTGCCCAAGTACAAACAGCACAGCGACACTCGTCACATACAATACGTTTGTGCTACAGTACATTTGTGCTGTTGAAAGTAGGCACTATATTCCTTTCAGGAAGCAAGGCAGCACAAATGTAGCACAAACAATGTTGTGTTGTTTGTAGGGAGAGCAACTCCATGCAGCTATTGGCTACTAGCAACTTACTGTAAAGTGGAATATGGAATTAATTTGTGATCATTCATAACCTTTCTTGAGTTCTTTTGCTCTGCCATAGATTTCTGGTTCCATATACCATGATCATAGCCAGTGTCCATAAAGTCCAGCTTCTTAAAGTGTAACGTAGTACAAAAAGCCATGAGAGCAATTAGCACTCATGACACATGTGCAGTTTATTATGCAGGGATTACATCGTGATTATCATGCAACTGGACTGAAGATAAAGCGTTCATTACACATTGCTACAGTAAAATTCTTTGACACACAAAATCTATCATTGGACACCTTGAAAGTAGATAAGTTTATGTTTGTCATGTTAGTCCTAAGAAATTATGAATATAATTCATTTTGTGTTAATGCAAAGAAAGTCAAGAAAATCTTTATCGTAGAAAGAAAATAGAAGTCAAACTGAATTTTTTTGTTTGTTGAAACTCATAAGTGCAGGATGTGTTTATAAGTAGAGATACATTTCTTAACTATATTCTTTTTACAGTGTAAAGTTTATGCTTCTTCAATATACTGTGCATTTATCTTTTGGACATGTTTGTGAATCCACATGTGCTGTATCATAAGGATGAAATGTATGTGAACTCCAGATTTTTCAACATTTCTGATTAAATGAAAACAATCTTATTTCAATTAACACTTTTTGGAAAGGTGAGTCTGAAGGCTAATGCTTAGCCTATCTACATTTCAGGTATATCTAATACAGAATGAAGGCAGCCACAACAACATTGTGATTTCCTTGCAACCAAACCAAATGCTTGTTGACTGGCCTTGTAAATGAGATGATTCATACACAGTAATAAGCAGTTCTGCCTTCATTATTTTCACAACCACACCAGTTGTGTCTTGACATATTTTAAATCCGCCTGTATTTGCCATGAATGTGTCATAGATGGAAAACAAAGAAGTCTTTCAAAATCCCCAAATCTATTCATTGTTGTAGTGAGGTATATTCTCTCAGACATCTGCATTCACTGGCATCGCTTTCTGAATGAATCCTGCTTCAAAAGTCTTTCCTTTTATAATGTTCAACAGTTAGCTTCTGCTGATACAGCACAATGCGAAGTAGATTCAGACAGACAAAAGGGATTCTTCTATATTGTTAACTATAATCAGGTTCAAAACAGAATTTTCAATGTTATACAATACTATTTATATTCGGGTAGTCTCAATCACACTCTTCAAACAGAAAAATATTTTGCTTTTTGAATCATGTGGCTCTTTTATAGGTAGAGTACTCTTATTAAACAAATCAGCAGCATTTTGGGGCTGAGAAATGCCTATTCCTTTCCTACTAGTTGTGAATAAAATTTTCATTACAAGTAAAAGACAAAACTTGCATTTGAGTCACCTGTCAAATAGCCAGAAACCCAGGAAAGTTTGTTGCAAAGGAAGATGTGGTTTATTTGAGTATTTTAAAACCTCAGAATTCTTGGTTTCTAAATCGTTATGTTTATTTGACAAACGTGAATTCCCGGGGCTATGAATATTGTCCAAATATTGCTTCCTAAGAGCAATTAGTAAGTAAAGTCTCAGAAGTCAGTGTCAAACTTGTCCTTTGCGTGCATCAGTTTTACAGTGGTTTCAAGTTATAAGACAGCAAAGTGTTAAACAGGATACCCTTAATATGAAAAAAATGTATTTTTTCATTATCCAAAGCCAAAATGTGGATTAGTGAGCATCTTTCAACTGAGATGCTTTGAATACAGAAGGTTGGTAACTTTTTAAGTGATCTTAACAGTCTTACCTGCCACACCCTTTCTGAACTCTCTCTCATAATCCCTCTTTGGCCAAACCAATCAGAGAGCAGGAGTGATCTGCGACTGACAGCCATAATGGCAGAAGGATTAAGGTTTTCGCAGTAGCAGTACAGAACAAGCTGCTTTTTGTTACTGGTCTGAAAGAAGGTGAGCTTTGTAGCCCGGCTCTAACATGGGGTTAATGTTGCCTGTGTCTGTGGCACAGATGGGGAGGTATGAAACACAATTTGTGTTCTCTGCCCTTTAATCTCCCCTTGTTCCTTGTGTCTTCTTTTATAGCTTGGCTGGGCTTTCTTCTCCCCGCCTGAAGGGAGGAATAAACAAGGACCTCTGGGAGAAGCAGTGGAGGGTTTGGGGGAGGGGTGAGGGTAAGTGGGTGGGGTTGCAGCCTCTTATAGCTGAAATCCGAGAGAACAGGGAGAATTCCAAGTACAGAATGAAAATCAGCTGAAACAGAACGAGATTCATTCCAGTTAAGAAAAAAACACATTTCTAAGTACATGTTGCTATATACTTCTCAAAAGAAACACCTTGTGTGTTTGGCGAGTTTTGAAGGTTGCTGTGATTTATGGGAGTATAAATATGGATTGGCTTTCACCATTCTAAAAAGCAGAATCATTTAAAAACACTTCCAATTTAATCTCCCATAAATAACGTAAAAGTCAGCAGTCACAGCTGTGTTCCTGATATCAGAGCCTATCAGGAGGGCCTGGTTAACGTTGATCAGAGAAACCAGTGGTGAAGATAATGTCTCAATCACACCTTCAAAACCATGTACCTCTGCCTGTTAACAATGATGAAATGGTGTACTTAGAATGATAAAAAAACATTGCTGCACAGTATTAAAGAAGTTACTAGATTACAGCATTTTTAGTGTAGTACAGAATCTGAGGCAAAAATGAATAGAAACAAACCAGAGATGATCCTGTATAAGAACCTCAGTGAAATTAGGGAAAACTAAACGCCGGATTGAGTTTTAAACCATAAAGTATATATCTTTGTGTTTCTGAAAAAGGAATTGAATATGTCTCTAATACAGGATCAGTCTCCATTCTGCAGAATACTAATGCGACCACATGCTTTTCATGCAATGTCTTCCCCATTGCAGCAAAAAACTAAATCCATTGTTTGGTTACCACTGCATATCCTCATCTGAGATGGGGAACAATTACACTAATGATTGAAAATGAGAGAAAAAAATTCAAGAAGCAGCCTACATACAAGGTAAGAAAGCTGTTTTCTGTTTATTCCACTCATAACATCCTTGAACATCACTGGCCAGAGGGAATACAGTTCATTCTGGAGAGCTGCTTAGTGTTGCCAGAAGCTTTTCTGCTCAGAATTGTATTGAACTCTATGTCTTTCACATTCCCCCAAACACGTCATATTAGAAACCTGTGTAGTCTTGAAGAGTAGCACAATTGAGTTTACTTCATGAATAAATGAGTAGGTCTTTGTGCTATACAAAAATAGAACTGTTTCTGTAGAAAGCTTGAAAATGCCAACAGCTTTTATCATTTATTTTGTAGCAGGACTGAATAATATGAGGGTGTTTTAAAATTGTATCCTTCCTTAAGTTTGACAGTTTTCCTTAAAGATGTTTGTGCAGTACCTATCACCCAATAAATTTACAGAATTTACAGTAGATGTTCCAGAAGCCTTTGAAAATCCTCTTGAGTCCTTGTCAGACATGACAATGATAAATGAAACATACTGGTAAAATTACAGGAATCAGTGAAAATCAATCAGAGAAAAGTCTTAAGCATGATGTTTTTCTGAAATAGAAAAATAAAGACAATTCCTCCGTAGGGCAATTGCGGGAGTAAGAAGTAGTTCCAGGTGAGTGTTGTGTTAGCTATTGCTGCCCTGTGAAAGTCCTGTTTGTAGACCTGCTTGTTCTGTCACCCCAGGTCGTCCCCATGCCCCTCCTGGAGGCCGCCATCTTCGTACAGCTGCGGCATCACAGAATCCGGGAGCTGGGTTTGGAGATCGTGTCTCTCTATGACCACGCCTCCTGGCACATCACAACAGTAGGGGCTGTAGAGTCACTGGTGTGCAGCATGCTGTGTCCTGTTGTGTAGTCATCTTAAACAACCGTCCATTTTCTAATCACTGTACCCAGTACTGGGCCACGGGGAGCTGGAACCTATCCTGGCAAGCAATGAGCACGGGGCAGGACACACCCCGGACGGGACGCCTGTCTCACCCCAGGGGTTTTCCCAGAAGCCAATTACCCTACCAGTATGATTGTGGGGAGGAGGAGGAAACCCACTCCAAACACGGGGAGAACAATACAAACTCCACGCAGACAGCACCCCAGGTCTGGAACTGAACCCAGGGTCCAAGTGATGCTGCTCCTTCTTAAGTGTCACTCAGAAGTATTTGTTTGTCCATGTCTGACTCATTACTCTGTCGCCAGAGCTGCGCGCCTCACTCTTCTCACATGCCTCACATATTACCTACAGTACCTGCTTACTACTCAGGGCCTCAAGGCTGAGACAGCCTGCTCTTGGGTTTGTCTTATGCAAACAGACTGCTGCTCATACTACCTGCAACAGTGGTACAATTACAGTAGCACGTGTAACTATTAAGTTAGGGCTGATTTCAACTTCAATCATTTTTAATACCAACTTTGGCAGAATTCCAAAGAAAGATACAAGTGTACGCTAGAGATTTTATTTGCCGTGTCATGCAAAGTCTCCTTTAGAAGGAAGTGCTTTAACTGATTATATGTGATGAGATTTCATATGAATGAAAGACAGAGTATTGGACTTAGCTCTTCAAAATCCAAAGCAGCTACTTTGGAGGAGCAACCTGATTTAGGCAGAGCCTGGATGCCTTCCTTTTCCCGGTGATGAATGTGACCAGAGAGGCTGAGAGAAATATCAAGGGTCTTAGAAACGTTTTCTATCCTCCTCCTGATTTGTTCTTGTATGTTTATCAGCTGCATCCCTGAGTTGTTTTGAAAGCTCTTTTGGTCTTCAGGGTTACAGTTTTGCTTGTGGTAAAAGTAACTGAGTGAGGGAACATGAAAGGATAGGTGCGTGTATTCTGAAATCATAGGCACCACTATCACTGCACTCAGACCGATACTTTTACAAATTTCCATAATTTTGTCTGTGGAATTCTTTTGTTTTTTCTTTTTGCATTGAAAGTGTCATGACTGCAGGCTTCAAAGCAACCAACTGTGAAAAGTGTGCAAGGGGCTGAATACGTTTGCAAAGCACTTTCTTATGAAAACCTTATAGGAAAAATCTTCAAGTGTTTAATACCTAAGCACACCAGGGGAATTTCTGGACATGGTATAAACACAAAAACATTTATTAGCATCAAAGAATGATGCACTAGCTTAATATTATACCTTTCAGTAGCGTTTTTGCTTTTGCTTTGGTCAGACAATTTCCCATTGTTACGTACTAAACTGAACATGTTTCAAATACATCAGGTGTATTTATCGTATCCTTTTTATGTACTTAAAAGTGTTTGTGCAAAAAGTGTTTGTGACATTTGTAGTGATTTAATGTAAAAAAAAGCTTCTTATTCCAGTGCAAAAGAATTATCCTGTTTCATCAGCAAAAAATTCTAAACTTTCAGGCTGTAAGTATACAGTAGCTGTAAGTATAGAGTTTACCTGCAGACAAATTTTGGCGCAGATTGTACCAGAATCTTAAATAAGATCTTGAATTTCTTTTGAAATGGGGCCAACTTTTAAAGGCAAGTCAATCTGAGACTCCAAACACCATCTGTTCAGTTTGTTTTAATAATTGAGTTACGTATTGAACGCAAAAATATTTGAAAGTCCTTGTTTTTGATTTTTTATCTGAAAAAATTTCTTTTATTTACTGTTCCTCATGTTATCAAGCCTCCTACTGGCTTTTTAGAAGGTAGGATTTTATAGTTTGTACTAGCAGGACTATTACTAAATCTGACTTTTCAAATTAATTTTCCCCTGTAACTTCTTATCACACTATTTTAATATACAAAAGACCAGGCGGCTCCACAGTACACTATTTCCACCACCTTTTCAATTTACTGCATCTTCCTTTATTAGTGCGTTTTCCCAGACTTAATCCGTGTCATCAGTTTGGGTGACTTCTGAAACAAGCCATCAAATTCAAGTCAGTAATTATTTTCTGGAGAAGTCCACATACTAACCTTTCCATTCTCCTGTGTGTTGGACCCCCCAATTCGGCGTTGTATCCTGTCATTTATACTTTCTCTCCGAGTAAGAGCTGGGTTATCAGCAAATTAGCTAAATGTGGAGGGAGTTCTGCTCCTGCAGCCTTTATGACAGTCTGCCACAGGGAGTTTGCCTATTAGTGTCACCATTTCCCAGGGTTTTACGATGTTTGGGCCGTGCAATTATTTTATTTGTGCCACAGTTTCCCACTATTGTAAATAAAGTTCATCGTATCTCTCTGTGCTCTCCCACCCTTTACCATATCTTTACCGTGATGCTACTCCACTTTACCATGGTAGAACCCAGTACAGTATTCTAAGGGAAGTCAGCAGGCAGCCAGTACGGTCGTGAGATGAATTTGTGCACATCCTCATGATGGGGAGATGACAAATCTTGGTAAATAAGAAAAGTCATTCCTATGAGATTTCAAACAACAAACAATTTAAAATGGAATTATATTTTTCAACTGCATGGCAATAATATAGCATTTTGTTACATGTTTTACTATTTATTAGTATTCTGACTATTAATTAAAAAAGTTTCATCATAAAATTTCTATTTAGGAAAAGGACGCCTTGTTTTATAAAAGGTTAGTACATTGTTCCACTGCATACCTTACACAACAGCTGCTACTTCGGTTTTGTTTGACTTCTGCTGATGGAAGGTAAGGTATACAGTGTTACTTGTAAATGTCTGACGAAGGCACATTAAGAATCAATCCGAGCTCTCCGTGAAGCTGTGGGCTGACATCCTTTCATGACTGTTCATGAATGACAGTTCTTCAGCACCAGGCTGGCAATGCTGGAAAATGCAATTGTTCAACGTTCTGATGTTTTGGGGGGTAGAAAGGTTTTCCAATCTTTTTTCACTACATAATCTAATATGCATAATTCAATTAAAAAACAGTCATCACCATAGAACAATTTATATTTATTTATTTATATATATTTATATTAATTTATATCTCACGTTAATCCTCAAAGACTTGTTATGCCCTGGTCGATGCTCTTTGCCATATACCTGTATAAGAGGATTTGTGAAACCAGCGAGTAATTTCAGTTTCAGTCTCAGTAAGGAATTTAGATTCAGAATCTGCCATTGTAGAATTTCATCATGTTTTTTACCATTGCTGGAACGCCAGGAGGTATTTATTAACAGCTTTATTAAGCTTTATTGAAAGCATCGTTAGACCTTTAGTCATTAAAGGATGATCAGTGTTTTGGTCCTGTGGCTGTAGCTCTTTTTGTGCTCTGTATTAACTAAGCCTTTGTTGTCTATTTTATGCAAGAATAAAAATTGTAAACTTTTTTCTGCAAGGAGAGGATTTGTATCTGATGTTTGACATCTCACACATTTTAAACTGCAATCTATCATTGCAAGAATATTTTTTTCTACCAAAAGTATGAATATATAGGCCAATGATGCTGATACTGTTTTTGTAAGTGGGATGATAACTCAGCTGCTTCAGGAAGTCATGCTGTTACATGGGTTATGTACAGAATAAAGCAGACAACTAGAGGTTAGATTCAAGTTCCCCATTACATTGTTATACACCTGTGAGTCAGGCCTTATCCAGTCCATTATTGCAATGTTTCCCATCTGGAGGAATCAGTCGTGTCGCGCAGGAGTCATGATTCCAAGACCCCTGCAAGAGACAAAGAAAAAGTATTTCGTACGTAGGCACTAGAGTGTTTGAACACATCAGCGCACAAGCACTGCCAGAGACTGTGGTCCAGCTGAACTGATCAGCTCTTTCTTTCCATTTCCCAGATATGACAGAACAAATATCACTACTTCTTATCAACGATTGCATCAACGTCTCTCCACATACTGTATGCTGTATAGAACTGTGGTACACAAATATTAAAATCTATTTTAAAAACATACACAAATCTCCTGCGCAAACTGTTTTTAATGAGCTTTGTATTATTTCATTTGTTTACATGACTATTTTTACTCCAAAATATAGCTTTTGGGAGTTTTGCTAGTGGCAAACATGATGTAAACAAGAATCTTAGTTCTAGAGTCATTCTTTCCAGTGTTATATGAAGTAGTGTCTGTCAGCTCTGGACTCACACTGTCCTTGTGTGCGTACTTTGATTTGTGTTCATTAAAGAAAGAAAAGTGTAAGATTTGAAACATCCGAAAATATTTCAAATTCACCTAGTAGCGTTCCTGTTGCAAGCAATTAGAAGCAGATCAATTCTGAAGTACTTTTGGAAGTGCTGCAGTATTTCTTGCTTGACGGTTATAAAGTGTGGTGGCGATATGAACATGTTTGTGTGGCACAAGCAACAACAAATGCATCAATATTTAATGAAGGTCAGAACAGATGCATTATATATGCAATAAGTGGAATGTGATGCAGAAATGCTGCAATAACAAGTATAACAAAACAGAACGTGTGTTTTGCTAGGAACAGAGTATTTGGACTCCTGGATGTGTTCAGACTGTATATGAATGAATCTGCATATGCCTGAAGTCAACAACAGTCAGACCCGCTGCAGTGTTTTAAAGAAATAGTAGAGTTTATCTATGTTTGTTTGCAGAAGATTAAATGATTTTTGTTATACATAAAAGAACGCAATGCATAGAGGAGTGGTTTACCGCAAAGAGGTACAGTACTCTGTTATGAATAAAATGATTAAATCAAATATTATCTTATTGAAAATATCGCTTTTGAAATAACTGTGCAAGTGTCTCCATTTCTTAAGTGTTAACAGAAGTACCAGTCATGTGTTGTTCTGGTGTCTTAATTATTGCCAGATGTAAACCTTTGAACAAGAATACAGACTTTTTGTGCAGATGCAAGATTCTTATATTACCAACAGATTTCTAACCAAAAATGAAAGCACAAAGGTTTGATTTTTCCTGATATGTTTCTGTTTTTAAGCTTAGATTTCTTAACTTCAAGCAGTGATGATGAGATTGTTGAATGATATTCCACCACACAGTATGTGGTTCATTTGCACTTGTATATGGTTTATTTTGGTATTTCAAAAAAATAACAACAACAACGTCACGTCACCACATTCTCACACGGAAGCGCACTCGCGCTAATCGCACTCCAGCCCCGAGCACTTCTGCCAAACGACACCGCTCCTGCCAATCAGCCAACCATGACCCCCCAGCAATCAGCGCACCTTCCTCCTCTCACAACACTTAAACCCTCCAGAACCCTCCTCAGAGCCCCTACCTTGCCTTTGTTATCTAAACTGTCTCTTCACTTTTCTCGATACGAACCACAGAACTTGCCTTTGACCCCGTCTCTCGCCTAGCCCTCGTTTGCTCTGAAAGCTACCTGCTTGTCTTCTGACCTCCTAAGGTACTGCACAGGGTCCATCCTCCTGATTGCATAGTGGGTCATTCGTGACACCACACACTCTGTGTCCTATATTCAGAAGAATTGGAAAGTATTATATTCATATGATATAGTAGTATGATATTTTGACTTGTCCAAGAACTCAATTCCTGAACAGATAATAACTAACTGGAACATGATGGCAACTGGAAACTATTTCATGTGATAAATATTAAGTTACAGCAGAGACAACGCTACTCTTTGTGTCCTGAGGTGGTCAGTGCGAGGCCTGTGCCAATCAGGGAGGAGGCCAAGGCGTGGAGCTGAAGGAGCAGAGCTAGAGGCAGCCCAGGCCAGGTACCTGCACAAACCCACAAAAACTGGGGCCAGATGCAGAAGGGGAGTGTCTAAGCATCTGGGGGCCGGATTACTCTTACTGCTGCCAGCTGCACGCCTCTGCCCAGCAATTTTCTAGAAGCTGCGTGCTGCTGGCTTCGTCCCAGGGAGATCGCGCCTGAAAACGTCAGGTATGCGCCCAAAGCATTGGACCTTTGTCCCTAACAAGATGGACCCAACCACATCCTCAGCTATCCAGAGCACCACGAGAGGAGATGTTGAATCTTCCCCGATCTACTGAGTTCATCTTTTATACTAACTCTTGGGTTATTATTTCACTTAATAGAGGATCTTTCATACAGGTCAGCCGAATGGTGTGTCTGGCTGAAAGGGGTTCGGTGAACATGACCGACTCTGCCAGCTTCCCTTTATTTCGGCCTGCCTAAAACCCACCTTTCTTGACCGGAGATGTTTTCAGCAGCTAGAAACTGATCCTGTCAATTCTGCATACACACAATTCTGGGTGCACTTTGAGAGACCTATTAAAACACACTAGGAAAGGAGAAGCAAAACAATCATGTAAAATCCCTGAACATCGTAGAAGACAAGTCTCTCCTAATAAGCCCTGAAGATGAGGGGTTAGTAAAAAAGAAAATTGAAGGAAAAAACCGAAAGCAATAAGAAACTTTTTGAAAACATTTTAAAAAAAAATCTTACAAAACTACCTCCAGATGTTTTTCCACAAAGTTTCATAAAACAGGTGTGTAGCTCAGTGTGTTGTAGTTTCTATTTCCTTTGTATTGGTCGTCAATATGGCAATATTGCACCATATTTTAAAGATGGTAATTGTTGATGGTTGAAATCAATCAAAGATATTGTTAAAGCAACCTGTTATAGGAGGAGAGAAGAAAATATTTGCATCTAATTTTGCCCAGATGGGGAAGGGCAGATCAGACCCTGTGCTTGCATGAGATTGTGGTTG